GTGTAAAGGTGATAGCCTGACTACGTTATCTTTATCCAGTTTACCCCAATGTTACCATTTTACATGATCACAGTATAGTTTTGAAAACCAAGAAATTAGCATTAGTATAATACTGTGAGCTGAAATCTAGACCTAAACTGTACATTACCCCTTTTTTCAGCTGTTTTATTTTTGTTTCAGAATCCAATCCATTTAGTTGTCATATTTCTTAGCCTCTTGAAACTTATGACAATTCTTCAGTTTTTCCCTGTCCTTCATATACTGGTCAATTAGTTTGAAGAATTATCTCTCTGCTTGGATTTGTGTGATGTTTTCTATTGAATACATTGAGGTTCTCCAATTTTGGCAAATACAGTAGACAATGCTCTGCCCTTTTCAATGCATTATTATATCAGAGAGAAAAATGATATTTTGAGGTGCCATTTGGCAGTTGGCTCTTTGATTTGCCTCTAACTCAAGCTTTGCATCATTATTGAGTAAGCATTTAGTAACTTGGAATTTTAGCTACTAGTTCTCCATTTTGCTTGTAAGTGCATAAAATAAGGAAGGAAACATGGAATTATTTCAACCATTTGTCGGATGTTTCTTCCTACATATGAAGAAAGTGAAAATTAAAGTTCTACATCTGACTAATGCAGGTGTTCTTACAAGCTGGGTTAGAAAGAAAGGTGAAGCAGTTGGATTGCAGTGGCGTTAAAGGTGAACGATCTCCCCTCAGATGGCCTAAGAGTTTCTTGAAAGCTTCCACTTGGTCAGAACCTTTATTGCTTTTCTGAGAAAACTCTTCTCTGTTGCAGACTGTTGGAGGCTGTGATAAGCAGGGAAAAGCAGTGGTAGTGAGATTCTCTTTACCTGTGCTCTGGAAGACCTTTAGCTCCTAACTCCTGTGCTCAGTAGAGTGCAGATGTACAGGGTGAACAATCTCATTTTTTGGATTTTTCCCAGTAATATTAGACCATGTAAACGATAGTCATGAAAAGAAATGTTCTAATCACTGAAGATCATATTTTTCTTACTCCTTTTTTCTGCCTTCTTTTCCTTTTTCCTCTCTCCCTTTGCTTCTACTTATTGCCTCATAAAGTGAAAGCATGGAGCTGATGCTCCATCAGAGCATCTTAGATATTTGACAGTGATACCAGCACCTAGTCAATCAGCTAATCCATTGTTCTTAACATGTGAAGAACTGAATGAGAGTCTGTATTTTCCACCTATAATTGCAAATTCATCAAATGAGGGAACAGCTTTTAATTTTATGATGATATGGTAAGTATTACGTAAAGTTGCCCAAGTATCAAAAAAAAAAGAGAGAGATAAGTGGAAAAATAGGCACGTGCACACACACACACACACACACACACACACACACACACACACACACACTGGGATCTGCTATCTGAATATCAGCATTAAATTTTGCAATATAGTTAAGGTTTTCTTTTATCTTCCTACATAATTATTAATACAATTCACTTTTATTTGCTAAAAGTAGGTAATACACATGTAGTTCATGCTTGCTTTTAGTAATAAAAATATTTCCAATGACAATGAATGTGGTATATATAATATTATTGTTATCATTTAAAAATGTTTGAAAAGTTTGGCTCTTATTATAAACTTTGCAGTGGACATTCTTGTATATTTACTTTGCATTCAGCCCAGATATTTCACTTTAGTCTTTTTAAAAACAATACTGGGGATTAAGCCCAGGACTTTTGCATTGAATTATATCCTCTGTCATTTTTATTTTATATTTTGAGACAGGGGCAGGGTCTTACTAATCACTGAGTAACACAGGCTGGGGTGGGACTTGTGACCCTCCTGTTTTAGCTTTGCACAGTGCTCAGATTACAGGCATGTGCCTGTCTCAATTGAAAATTATTAAATCAATTTCACTTAAGAGTATATCCTCAATATGCATCCATTTTCCTAGGAATGACTTTAATTTCTCATTCTTTATGGCTGAGTAGTATTCCATTTTATAGAAAAACCACATCTTCTTTATCCAGTCTCCAACTGATGGGCAAATGGGCTGTTTCCAAGTTTTAGCTATTACAAACTGTGCCGCTGTAGACATGGGTTTGTATACCAAATAGTTTCTCTGGTGTGAAAAACTATAATTGTACATAAAATTCTAATGGTATAATTGACATTTAAAATTGGAAGACAAAGGCTAAAGGTGTAGGGGAAGTGGGAAGGGTAGGGGAAAGGAAATAAGGGAAAAGAAAAAAATATGAGAAAATGAAAAAATGGAAATAAAGTATTTGTAAATAGAGAAGGGAGGAGGGGGTGCAGGGAGGGCAGGGGTAAGAGGAAAAAATGAGAACCAAGACCTGTCATATAAAGGTGTAAGACTAAAATGTACCCATAAACTCAATGAGAAAAAAAAACGAGAAAATTATTAAATTAAGTATATATACATTTGGCTACATATCATGAAATTGACTTCCAGAATAAGACTGCTCCCACTTTAAATTCTACCATTAATGTTTGCAAGTATCAATTTCCAGGCAAAATAAGAAATTTCTGATGATATACAAATATATCATTGTTGCCTCAACTGTATTTCTTGTATTATTTTGAAGCTGAGCTGCCTTGCATAAATTATTCTTCCTTTTATTTTGTTATTTTTTGGTAATTATAATTTCCTTTTTTAAATTAGGTTATAAGCATTATTCCTAAGTTAATTAAAAATACAATATGATGGGGATCTTTGTGATTCTCATATTTCATATGTGAAACAAAACAGATAGTTGTGATTACTCAATTAGCTGATGCCCTAAGTATTTACACATAATAACTTGTTTGATGCTCATAAAATGTATAAGATTGTTAGGCATGGTGGCACAGGCCTGTAATCCCAGGTACTTGCACCAAAAGCAGATAAGTTTAAAGCCAGCCTGGACAATTTAGGAAGACCCTGTCTCAAAATAAGAAACAAAAAGGGCTGGGAATGTGTTTCAGTGATAAAGTACCCCAAGGTTTAATCACCATTATTTGACTTTCCCTACACACACACACACACACACACACACACACACACTTACACACGCACAAATGGAGAAGTTTTCTCCTGTGTGCTGATACATGAGAGTAGTTGAAAGTATTGCCTAAGCTCGTGTAGCTGTTTTGTGGAGAAATTGTAATTCAAAGCCAGGAAATTGGCTTTAGAATTTATGATCTTATTGTTGCATTTTATTATTGCTTATAAAAATCTTTATTTTGAAAATCAATACTTTCTCAGAGAATTTTCATTGCAAATATCTTCTCTTTTGGAAGATTTTCTTTCAGTTTTACTTATACTATCTCTTAGTATGCAGAAGTATGTCAGAACCATTATATGGACACACTAATACGGTCAAGGTTTTTGATCTTTTCCTTCCTACTTATTTTGTTACTATAGTTAATAAATTTACTCTTACTCTTATGCCAAAAAAATAGGCTCCAATATTTCTTTCCACAAATCTCAGATTATGTTTTTCATATTCAGAGATGAAATTATGTAGAATTGATTTCTATGTTTGGTGTGAGACTGGAATTTTATTATTACCTACTTGATTATAGAAAATGTATTACCTCAGCAGTATTTATTAACTTTATTAAGGCTTTGAGTTTCATATTTTATTTACTTCTAGGTGCTTTTGAAATTTTATTATTAGATAATGAAATCACTTAGTTTATTACCCTTCCAAATGGGTTATAAATTGGGTTTTCTAGTGTGCAGGAGTGCTGTTGGTTCTTAAAATATTGATCTCCTCACAAGTAACCTTGGTCAACTAACTTTTACAACTCGATAGTTTTTCCTGAAGATTATCTTGGACTGTATGTAAAACAGTGACCTATTTACAATCTATATATGATCATATAATTTTTATGACTTTTTTACCATTTAACTTTTCTCTCATCATCTTGAATCATGATAACATAAAGGCAGACTACTTGAACCTGTGTGTTTTCCTTGATTTTAGAGGAAAAGCTTCTCATGTTTTAATATTAAGCATGATAATCTGCTTTATATTTTTAGAAGATATTCCTAAACAGGCTAAAGAAGTTCTCTTCTATAATGATTTGGTAAGGGCTTTAGAAAAATCTCATATGAGTATTAAGTTTGTCAAATGGTTCTTTCAAATATATTGAAATAAATTTTTTTCTCTCATATGTTTTTTTCTCAAATGCCACTTGCTCCTTTCTGCAATTTGCTTGCTAATATTTTATTTCACTCTTATTTTCTTTTCTTTTTTTTTAATTTTATTGAGTTTATTGTTACATTTTAGGGATACAGTACAGTTACATTCATTGTTGGGATCATGTACCTCTACATGGCAAGTCTTGATTCTCATTTTTTCCCCTTACCTCTGCCCTCCCTTCACCCCCTCCTCCCCTCCCCATCTACAAACACTTTATTTGCATCTTTTCGTTCTCTCACATTTTTTTCTTTTCCCTTTTTGTTCTTATTTTCAAAGGTGAGACAGTTCCCAGATTATTTTCTCTTACATTCTTTCTTATATTTCTATGTCTTATATGTCTTTGTTTAATATTCCCTAGCTTCATAGTGTTAATTGGAGTGAAGTTATCTTGGTTCTGTGTTATTTAGTGTTTTGTTAGTGCTGCTTACTACATTTAAGCAAATATGATCCAAACACTCACAGTAAGAGATATCTTTATTTCCATATCCCTTGTTCTCAAGACAGAAGCCTGTAAAGAAAGGGAGAAAAAGCTATCTTCATGTGTTACAACATGAAAATTGGAATACTGAATCCATAAAGCTGAGATTTTGCTCATGTCTTATGCTTTTTAATTATTAATTTTTAGTTTGGGAACCAGCCTTAATGGTTATCAACCCCCATCACTTTAATCTATATTAGCTATTATAACATTTTTGTTTTTGTTTTGTTTTCTGAGCAGGGTCTCACTATGTAGTCCAGGATTGCCTTCAACTTGTATTCCTCTTGCCTCAGCCTTGGGAGTGCCAGGATCACAGGCATATACCACTGCCTGGCAGTAATACTTCTTCTTATGTGTATCAAAACTTATACTGAACAATGAGTTCTAATTTGGAAAAAAGGATTTTTTCCCACCTACCTGTAAGTGTTTATCCACAAGTTAGACAAGAACAGACACAGGTGCTACCCCTGTGTTATTATACATATCAAGATATAGTTTCTTTCTCAGTATTATAAAAAGCACATCCTTTTCCCCTTGTAGTTAGATACTGTTTTATTTTTTTAACCTTTAAATCTTAAATAAATAACATTAAAGCTGGCTCTTCCATATACATGATGAAGATGGGGTTCTGAAATTTTTATTTTAAAGCCAGAGGGAAAAATTCCAAGCTGTTTTTGGCAAAAGTGTCAAAGTATATTCTTAATGGAAGCAGCTGTGTGTCCAAGAGAATCACTATAGGTTTCAGGCTTAGAATAAATCCAGGATTCTACCTAATTCAGTGATATGACTCCATCCTTAATACAGCAGTAAGCCTTTATTTCAAAATATAACTAGACAAGAAAATTTAATCTGAGAATCTTTCCAGCTCATATTATATTGCATAGCCAGAGCTAAGATTTACTTTAGCAAGCAGTTGGAATTCCCAAGCATACTGAAACAAGGTACAGTTAGCCTGGAAGAAAAAAAGTGATATTTTACAATATCTACCTTTGGAGCAAAATTTCCTCTTTCACTTTGCAATGAATGATTCTATCAGTAACTTGATTTAAAAATTAATATTAAACAAATTTAAATGAAAAATTAATGTTTTTAAATGGACAAAACCATGAATAGACAGAGTTTACCTACAGCATGGATAAAGGGACATGGCATTTTTGCCTGTGTTGGATTTTGGAATTTCTTCTTTATTCCTGCTTGCATTTAATACATATTTTGAATGGAAGCTTCCAATACTCATTTATCTTAATATTGCTCTTTTTTTCTCTAGCTAGTATAATCAGGAAGGCTGTATTTGGGAATGCTTTTCTGTTCTTCTTGATATTTATTTACGTATGTCTTTATTTTTGTTAATGTGAATTTTATGTTGTTTAGAACTTTAGCCATTGTATGTATTGTATGTGTCCACATTCATGCCTGAACTCAATACGTGATCTGTTTCTACACTTCTGTCTCTCCATGGATACCCATAGTAGATATGCAGACATTCAAATGAAGGAAGCATTCACATACTTGTTGGATTGGTCTAATAGTTCCAATTACATGTAAGAGACTGCTTGTGATTCCATTTAATTGAATAGCCCCTATTGAGGGAACAGAGTATACCAGGCAGTACATCGTGTTTCAGGGTCACATACAGGGATAAAGACTGCCTGAGAGAGAGGAAGATGGCATATATTAGAAATAATAATCACATTAGAAAATATTCTGTTATCCTAAGTAATGTGTAGAGAGAGTGCTGAGAAGGAAGCAATGTGTGGCATGGAATTGGGAATGAGTATGGGAGCAGAGATGAGAAAGAAAGGGTTTAGACCTTGAAGGGAAGTATATTTTAGGTAAAAGGGAACAAAAACACTGATTCATGAAGGCCCTTTGTGCCTCTGGAGAATGGAGAAAAACACAGCGTATGGTGAGCATTGGGGAAAGGCTGGACTGGAATGGCTCATCAGTCCTGATTTTCACATAAATTAACCTGGAAGTAGCATGGAAGATCATTTACAATCTTGTGAAATTAAGAGCTCTGTAGGGTTGAGAGTGCAGTTCAGAATCTGTTAGGAGTAATAGGAAAATGGGTGAGACACAAGAATGAACAAGAACTGATGACACATTAATACAGGAAATAGGGAAGATGAAGAAATAGATAAACATGCACAAAGAAATATTTAGGTGGAAAAGTCAATCCACATGGGGCAAATGTGTTTGGAGCACTGAAGAGCACCGAGACATGTGTGATGGGTGAAGACAGGAAGAGAGTGGCTTATCCAGACAGAGGTGCACAGACTGATAAACAGAAACTTATAGGAGGTATGATGGGAGAACTCATTCTCTGGATTAATGTGATATAGGGAGAGACCTTGGACGAGAGTTTCTTGAAATCTGAGAGACAAGTGTTCATAAATGGAATAGGCCACAGGTTATAGGTGGGAATTGTTTAATAAATGCCCTGACATCTTTGTCTGTCATTGGTACAACTCTGAAGCAAGTTTCATAGTCCTGCAGGACTCAGCCTTTGTTGCCCAGACTGAGTAACTTGGTAGTTCTCACATTTTTATTGTCATTTCCTTTGTCTTTTGAATTCCCTTCTGAGTTCTTCCTAGGGTAATCTATTGAAATCAAATCCTTTCACCACAGGCTTGTCTAGGGGCAAACAAACCAAAGACAATTGGAAGTTTATTGTTTCTTTTTTTCCTTCCTGAGAATGGAATGGGTTAGAAGGAGAATGAATTGTCCAAAGAACTAAAGGAATTAGAATTGAAAGATTAGGAGTCATTCATCCCTTGAACTACACATTGTCAGAAGAGCTAAAGGAGTTGGAGTTGAAATTGGGTGATTAGGGACTGTTCATTCCTTGACCTACAATGGAAGAAATTGGAAAGAGTGTTCAAAACGTTTGTGATGCAGTGTGATCATTCTTGGTTGTTTCATATGGAAAGAGACAGAGTTGTTTATAGAACATATACTACTTCATGAGCATCCCGGGATAGTCCAGTTATCATAAGTCTGATGTTATTTATTCAACAAATATTATTAGGTACTATTATGTTTCATCCTCGCGATGTTCTGTCCTAGGGTTCCTTCTACCATTTTTCTCCTTTGCCATTTATTTGACAGCTCTGTTGCTTCTACTCTTCTCACACTGAACTAACTCAGTTTACTTTGCTTTTGCCATCTATGATAATCGATTCTCATCTTAGAAATAGGTTTTGAATTTAAATTCAGTATCTATTGTAAGGTTTTCTTAAATTCTTTGAAGTCAAATCCATTGAGCATAATAATCGGGACAGACAATGTAAAAAATTCAAATGGATAATTTAATAATACTGCTGTGAAATATATCAGGGCTCTTGAATAGATAATTAATATTCTTAGACTTGCTCAAACATAGCATAATGAAGATTTTTTTCTTGTCTGATTTTTTTATCTGACAACTTTATGGCTTCTAACTTTATTTTTTATTTTTATTTATTTATTTATTTTGGTACCGGGGATTGGACTCAGGTCCTTGCGCTTGCAAGGCAGGTCACCGAACCTCTGAGCTAAATCCCCTGCCCCTCTAACTTTATTAATATGTATATCTTAATATAATTAAAGGTCTTCTAGATATAAAACATCTGAAGGATTCTTGGTAAACAGAAAAAAACTGTCAGACTTCAAATTTATCAAGCCTCTAGATTTAACTACTGATTTATTGAAAATACTGATAAGAGAAACATGTTAGCAAATAACAGAATGGAATTGGGCTTTACTATCCCATAGGAAATAGGAAAATCTTTGGGAATATCAACCAAGTTTAGTTAATGTATAAGTTGCAAGAGAAAATAAGACAGAATGGGAAACTCAGTTTAGAATGCATACAGGTCATTTTAATCACTTTCAATCTATATCATTTAGATTGATTTTTTAAAAAATGTTATAATCAACACATGAAACGAATGGAATAGGAGTAGTAGATAATATTCAGGAATTATTAATTTTTAAAGATATTTTGTTTATATTAGAAAGAAGAAAACCACACCTTTATATTCTAAGCTATCTCAAGATAGATTTATATGATGTCTTGCACTTGATTAAAATGAAGTAGGGGAGAGGGAGAATGAAACAGGCTATGGAGGAGATAGGGAGCTATTGAAAGATGATTTTTCAGGCTAGTTTATGGCTTTGAGTAATCCTTATACTCTTGTATTTGCTTTTGTGCATGTTGAAAATGATCCATGATAAAAACTCAAAAGTTTAATTAAAAATACGTAGCTAGATTGACTAGAGTGATAGCAATATGTGATGTATTTTTCTATTAAAAAACTTTTGTTATGTAAGAGCATGGTTTCTTAAGTTCAACTATTTCAAAGACATGAGGTTAAGCAAGTTCAGGAATCACTTAAAATCATCTTACGATAAACTTTTCACTGCAAATCCACTTTTGACCTTTGTTCAAAGAAAAGAATGTGAAAGGAACACATTTCTGCATGTTCTTTTCTTTACCTATGACTTGTATAGATGCTCGTACCTTGGGTTTTCTCTATTTTTAGTGAACACTCTTCAAACATTTTCCATCCTTCTTCCATCTTCCTATTATCTTTTTTTACATTTTAATCATTGGGGTACATTGCCAACATTTTTAATAAGATGACTAAGAGATAGCACCCCTCAATTAGATTAGTTTCAAAACTGTAAAATCCAATAAAATGAATATCTGTAAGTTAAAGTTGGAGTTTGAGGCATTGCCATCATTGTCATATTATTAAAAGAAATGCCCTCAGTGTGCTTTGAAGGTCATTACATTTTTCATATAATAATATGGTAAAATTAATAAAAAAATTTTTGGAGTTGCATCTAGATTTGCTTTTGCCAAAACTAATAGGAAGTATAAAATAATTATTTTGCCTTAGGTAACACATTGGGGTTTTAATTAATTTTATTCCTAAAAACAGTGTCAAGAATTATCAGAATTGCTATGCTGAATCATATGATTATACCCTGAGAAATTATTTCAAAAGAAGAAAAAGGTAAATATGTGCAAAGATAGTCACTGTAATATTTTCATGGCTAAAAACAATTAGATATGAATTAAAGTGTAAAAAGTTGCAAAAAGTAATGTCATGGTACTTCAACAACATTAAGTATTGAACTACCATGAAAAGTTAAATTGGAAAGTAAAGCAATATGAATATATGTAGATATAAAATTAGAGAAATACAAGCAGATTAAAACACTGTGCCTTTGCTCTGATAATAACTATGCAAAATATGTTAGTTTTTAGGTAAGGACTGGAAAAAGATACTCAAAACTGAAGCCAGCTGTTGCATTGTTGTGCTGATATTAAGGGTGATTAAGTTTTTCCTTTAAATTCCCTTATGCGGTTACAATGATATTTATGAAACATTTTTAAAAAGTACTGAGAACAGAAAATTAATCCTACCATGAAAATCTCTATATTGAAAAATACAGTTCTAAAGGGAAAGAACATGG